ATAAGGGTGAAATACGTTCTTTTTTTTCGATGGAATTTCCGGCAACAAAGCATTGATAATTGCAATAATAATGATAATAATGAATAATAGTGATGGCAATACCAATAACAAAAAGATAATAACCGATAATATTAATAGTAATAATGATAATAACAATAATGGTGATGAAGGTAATGATGAAAATGATAATAATAATGCTAATGATATCTATAATGATATTAGTAGTAATAATAATAGTGATAATGATAATGACGATGATGATGATGATAATATCAACATCAATGATAATAATGATGATAGATGTGATGATAGTTATTATAATAGTGATAGTAATGGTGAAAATGATAATAACGAGGATAACAATAACAGTAATGAAAATGATAATAATCATAATCACAATAATAATAACAATCAGAATAATAATAATTATAAGAGTAATGTGAAAATGATGATGAAAATTAAAATGATTATCATGATAATGGTAATAATCATATGATGATGATGATGATCATGACGATATTATTGATAATAATAATAATAATGATGATAGGTATTATAGTCATAATAGTAATAATGATAATGACAATGATGATGATAATGATAATAATGATAATGATAATGAGGATAAGAATGATAATAATGATAAGATAATAAGTATAATAACAATAACAATAATGGAAATGGTAATAATGATAATATAAAAAATAACAACAATGATACAGATAATAGTAAAAGTAATAATGTTAATGATAATGCTAACAATACTGATAAAGATGTAAGTATTAACATACATAATGAAATGGTAATAATGATAAATATAAAAATACAACATGATACAGATATAGTAAAAGTAATAATGTTAATGATAATGCTAACTTACTGATAGAATAATGATAATGATAACGATAACAACAAAAAATGGAAGGATAAATAATGATAATGTATATATAATAATGTATGTTAATTATTATATTAATAATAATAATGATGATTACAATATATGCTTAATTAATAATGATTTAATACAATATGATAACGATGATGGTGATGATAAGTATAATAATAGTAATGATGAAAATGTTAACAGTAGTAATGATAATGTTTTTAACTATAGTAATAATGATGATAACACCATCAACATCAGTTATAATGATTATAGTAATGAAAACGAGACGTGAAGGGTTATACCAGAGTATCTTGTTACACATACGTGACTGTGATAAGACGCAGCATTTGCTATATGCTAAACGTCTTCACAATGATTATCTAATTCATGGAAACGTTAATGAAGAAGATAAAATAAGTGATTCCATAATAATTTATCGGAGCATTTATAGTAGTATTGTTGTTTATCATTGTTGAACATTTAAAAAAAATAAGAGTATTTGATAATTAACAAATGCTCTGCCAACAGACCAAAACATTTCCAAATTTGTTGACATGTACACAGTGCACGTTTTTTAGGACTCGCAAAAGAATTTTGAATCATGAGGTAATTCTTTCGTTTTATTTGTTATGAGGTTGGGTATTTAGAGCTGTTTATGTCTTTTATGTGGTGGAAATATGTGTATTGTGGAGGGAATTCTGTGAAAGGAGTGACTTACGAGAGGAAATAGGTTTGGTGGTGAAATGATTCCATATTTCGTGTGTAAATGGATAGATTTTCGGTAGCAGGAGATATGTAGCTTAAATAAGAGGTTTTGTTACGTTTGTTTAGGTGTATAATGGCGAAAATTTATGGTTCCAGGTAGGATTGCTGAACATGAGGCTTTTATACTTCCGTGTAAAATTGCGTAATTTTGTACTTACATATTCGTTTCATAGGGAAGTTGCATCTCTCATTTGTTTAAGAGATAATTCTTGACAGTGCAGATACACTCACCAAATTAGGCTGTGTCCTAAGGAAGGGTTGATGTTAGGCTCTCTCGCCCCCCAATATCCTCCAGCAAACATTGTTTTCACCTCGATATGAATGGCAAGATTGAGTTGGAACTCCGGAGCATTGAGTGGACTTAGGCTATGAGAGTCCTTTACGAGAAGATCGGCGACAAGCAGCTTTTATTTTAAATTTATGTCTGTTTAAAGGTGTGTGTGTATGTGCAAGGAAATGCGTATCTTTTTGACATACACTCTTTTCAGTAGAATTCATATTTTATCTCCTTGGTTTTCGGCATTTTCATTGATAACATATTTTTCTTAAGTAATGAATAGTATTTGCTCTATGAGTGAAATATTGATATGTTTGATAGAAATGTGTATGTATATTATATATATATATATATATATATTATATATATATATTATATGTATATATATATATATATATATATTATTTTATATATATATATATTATATATATATATTATTATATATTATATATTATATATATTATATATATATGTATTATATATATATATTAATATATAATATATATATATATGTATATATATATATAATATATAATATATATATTGTATATATTATTATATGTGATTATATA